GGTTATTAGTAAGAATTTAGTTTTAATTTTAGTAAGAGTTTACGGCACTTGCAACACAATAAGGTCATGTAAGTGCCGAAGATTAGAGGTGTTACAAGAGAGTAACAAACAAAACAAAAAAAGAAGGAGGTGAGATAAGAACGATAGATGTTTGATAGGAAAGAAGGAGCAAGCCACACCAGAGCATCCGCCAACCATCCACCAAACAGAATTTACGACACGCTGCAACTATTTTCAACTCTTTAATTTACTTTAAAGACGTAGTGGACAAATCTTTGTCCGACCAGCTACTGTGTACAGGTCAACGGAGTGGGTTGTTGGCAAGACTGCTCTGGTGTGGTTTACTCCGTAAATTCTTTTCTATCAAACATTCATTGTCCTTATCGCCCCTCCTTATCTCCCCTCCTTTTTTGAGTTTGGGGATTGTGTGTGGCTTAGCTGGGCTTGGGGGTGAGACTCTCTCTGTCTTTTCTCCTCTGACTTCTCTATTCTTGGATCTGACGAGTCTCTCTACGAACTTCGCAACTCCAGAGCTTGTTAACAGAATTAACTCTTTATCTCCGGCAAACTGCTCACAGCGGCTCGCGGAAGGAACCACTGTGTCGGCAAAGATAGCACCGTAGGGTATACTATCTTTGGTGTCGGTGAGTCGCTGACAGCGGCTCGGGCACATTCCTTTACCACGACTTCCACATCAAATCAATTACTGCCGAAAACAGGTATCTTTTATCGGTAGTTCATTCATTAGAGGAAGAACTATCAAAATAGGTTCCCTTGTTTTGATTTAGTGTCCCGTTTAGTGACGTTTTTTTGGGGTTATTTTTAGTTTTAGTACAAAAAAAGGACCCCGGCATAGCGGGTTTACCCCCCCCCCCCTCGATATGCCACACAGTGTGATCTTGAGCAGCTTTGTCCCGTGTGGTATGGGGAGCGTCACGTCATCTTGCTGCACGGTACATGTATGCCTACAGCGGGGGCTGCCCAGTTTGTCACATACCCAGTTTGTCACATACCCAGTTTGTCACAATTCTATTTGAGTATTTGAGTATGGATGACAGTCATAATTACAGCACTTTAGCACTGTAGTTGTAAGTTTTTTATTCTCCACCTTCAAATTGGTGGTGTAGAGACAGTCCCTCTTAAATATTAATGAGAGAGGGTTTGATATTAACTCAGCTTGTGTTGTTCAATATTTCTTCCTTTTTGTGTGCAAATCAAGGCAAATCACTCTGTAAAATTTCATCAATGTATGTTCTTTCGTTGAAAACAGTTGAAAAATAAAATTCAATTCATACAATCAATCAATCATTCATTTACTCTTTTTGAGAGTGTCAGTGATAACTTCCATCATCCAGGGCATAGTCGAGGCGGGGTGGGCCTGTGACAAACTTGCTTCCCCTACATCGTATCTTTGTAGCGTTTTTTTTTCCGTCCGCCGAGAGAACGTTTGCCGAGAGTCATCTCACCACTCACTATAGAGTATAGAGTAACCTCTTTTGTTTAGTTTTTTTTCTTTTAGTAAGGTTTTACGGAGCTCGCAACAACAGAAGTTCATATGAGCGCCAAGGGGTGGATGTCAACTGAGAAGTCCAAACGGGGAATCAGGCTTACTCTGCTCACCTCTCTAGCTTCAACAGCACAAAGTCTGCTTCGACTATCAAGGCACCCAGAAATAGCGGGTCACAAGCGTGTGACAAACATACAAAAGAAGTAGAGGAAAATGACGATAGTAAGGATGAGGAAAGAAAAAGCAGCAGTTCCTCCCCCTATGTTGTTCCGGCACAGTATGAGCATGACATTGATGAATCAGCCCATTTACAATTCTCCTGTGCATAAGGACATGTTTTAGCTTTGTTCACTTTCGTCTGGCAGCTTAAAAAAATTCTAGCTCATTGATGAGTTTACCAATGTCCACGAAACTTTGTATGGCACTTCTGCAGGCCAGCGACCAAACAAAAATATTAAAAAATTTTTTTTGACCCAGTAATAAAAAAAGTTTTTGTCTTTGGGCCAAGGCCTTTATCAGAAACCGGTCTTTGGATGAAAAACGCAGGATCTCTAAAATAAAGGACTTGCAGTAGCCTTGCCTACAAATTGCTCATTTTGAGACAGCGACACCACCCTGCCCCCACATTTCAGTGCAAGCTTGTTAAGATTTTATCCCCCGGCTGTCTAGACGTCTCCACGTGCTCCACGTGAGTCTCGAAAAGTACTCACCCCGTCTCTTGAATCGTGTTTCTTCGGCGAAAGTAAAGTTAAAGGGTGGTTTTGAGGAAAAGAATATTATGTCAGCTTCTAAATGTTTTAGGTGTATGCTGTAAATCCCCCATTATTTTTTTGACCCACTTTAGGCTTTCACCAAAGAAAACATGTCGGAACCTTATTTTGCAGTGACTGAGCGAGACAAGGTAAACAAACCTATCCGCCACTGCCAGTCTCTGGCCCTTGGTGGTGGTTTTTAAAAAAAGTTTAGTACATGTATGGGGTTTTACGGCGCTCACAACTGCATAAGGTCATATGAGCGCTGATAATTTCGTGGAGCTCTGTGTGTGGAATTGACAGGGTTAGATGGTAAACTATTTCCGTCTTTTTGGTGGAGACACTGAGGCCAAGGTCGTCGCAGGGTTTGGACATTAGGTCCAAACTTTCCTTTCTGTCTGACTACTGGCCGTATCTTGTCTAACAAGGTCAAGGACGGCGGCACCTGGCCACGGCACTTTCCTGTTGCATGTCTACGGCTTCCGCCTCTCCGTCATGATGCTCCTTATCAGAAGAGCAGGAATTCCTGGAGGTGGTGATGGTGGTGGTGATGGTGGAGGTGATGGTGGTGGTGGTGGTGGTGGTGGTGATGGTGGTGATGGTGGTGGTGATGGAGGTGGTGA